AAATATAAAAAATGTCCTATAATCTCCACCTCAGAGTCTGCTTCACAGGGAACAAATCAGCCACATCTGCTAACAACCTCCCATGAACAAACTGCTAGAAAATCTCACTCATCAGAGAACCATCACAACCTATAATTGGATTAACAAATGCATTACTCCACCACTGACTTACTCCCACTCGTCACCCATAGGTTTTTTTTTAAATCCATGCTAATATTTACAGTTTAAACTACAGCCAAGCTAAAACTGAGAGCAAGCTCTGGAAACAAAAGGTCACCTGAGGTTGGCCAAGACACGCCCATTCCCCAGAATCTGGGGAGGATTTAATCTCTCACTTTGACAGCAAAAGATAACAAAAAGGAGGAACCTGGTTTTTACATTTACAAAATTACAATCTAATTATATATTCAAATTTGTTCACATTATGCCATATATATTTTTCCAGATTTGTCTTTGAATTAAGCAGCCTGGTACAGATCTCCAGATAACAAAGATAATCTTATCATGTACCTGGGCCCAACATATTTTCATTAAAAGTTTCCCTCTTTTATCCCTGATCACGTGGCTCAGGGGGATGGAACATTGTTGTACACCAGAAGGTTGCAGGTTTGCTCCCCAGTTAGATGTGCAACTGGGGGGGTGGGGAGAACCGATCTCTCTCTCTCGCTCGCTCTCTCTCTCTCTCTCTCTCTCTCTCTCTCTGTCTCTTCTTTCCCCTCTCTCTAAAATCAAGTGAGAATTTTAAAAAATGTAGTGGGAAGTGGGTAAGTGTATAGGAGGGATAAATAGTGATGGAAATAAATTTAAATATATATATATTTAAAAATCAAAGTTTCCCTCTTAACCATAAGAACCAGAAATTCCACTTGTGGGTATTTGTCCAAAGAAATCCAAAACACTAATCAAAAAGATATATGCACCCCTATGTTCATTGCAGCATTATTTACAATAGCCAAAATAAGGAAGCGATCTAAGTTTCCATCAATATACAAATGGGTAAAGAAGATGTGGTAAATATATACAATGAAATAATCCTCAGCCATAAAGAAAAAAAAATGAAGTTTTGCAACAACATAGATAGACCTAGAGGATATTATGCAAAATGAGATAAGTCAGACAGAGGAAGACAAATACCATATGATTTCACTTGCATGTGGAATCTAAAAGATGAATAAACAAACCAACAAAACAGAAACAAACTCATAGGTACAAAGAATGAACCGATGTTTGCCAGATGGGAGGGAAAGGTAAAGGATTAAGAAACATAAGCTGGAAGTTATGGGGTATAAACTACAGTATAGGGAGTATAGTCAAGATGGGTAGTAGACTTACCAGGGGGAATCACCTCATAAGTTATATAAAGGTTTTATTGTGTATACTGAAACTAGTATAATATTGATTGTCAACTAATATAATATTAATTTTTAAAAATAAAATGTAAATAGAATGGGAAAGTATTCATCCACAATTTTGCATGCCAATTTTTAAAAAATAAAGTTTCCTCCTTAGGGGAAAAAAAATCAATCTTGTTATTCTGAAAGCTAATATAAAACTTACGACCATGTAAAAGTCACATGACCTGTCATTTGCCTTCCCTTAATATACGCCACAGTGCCCAAACTCCTTACCCCATGCCTGGCACAAAGTAAGAGCTCAAACCATACTTGATGCAGGAACAATGATATATTTCTTGGCTGAACAGTGAAGTTGTAAACTAAGATTTCTTAGGAGGACAGGAGGCTCCAAACTTAGGCCTGAGAACAGGACAGGGTGAACAAGAGCGAAGCAGGCAGGAAAGCGGCCGGAACCCATGGTAAAGGCCAGCTACGTTGGCCAGGAGGAAGCGTGTGGTTTCCTGAATTGTACCCGTTCAAAGCCATGAACTTGGGAGCATACCATATATACATAACATGTCAGGTCCATAACTGCCTCTTCAGTCACACTTCAGTGATTTTGAAAAGGTTACTTACAGTCCTGGGCTCCTCTGTCCCTGTGCATTGCTCCTGGAAGGGATATGGAGGTGGAGGCAGCTGCAACAGAAAAATAAGGCTGCGAAGAACTGGAGTGGGTACACTTCACAGAGCACCACGTTCAATGTCTTTAAAGGAGAATTTTCCTTTTTTTTCTTTTTTTAATCCTCACCCAAGAATATGTTTAATGATTTTTTTAGAGAGAGGAAGGGAGGAAGAAAGAGATATTGATGTGAGAGGGGAACATCAACATGAGAGAGGAAAAGTGATCAGCTGCCTCCTATCAGTGCCCCGAATGGGGGCCAAAACCACAACCTCAGTATGTGCCCTGACCAGGACTAGAACCTGAGATGTTTTAGTGCATGGGATGATGCTCCAGCCAACTGAGCCACACTGGCCAGGGCCTTAGAGGGGGAATTTTAAGCTAGAGTCACTGGACCTCCTCTGGGTACCATAGTGGGATTTCAGGAAACTGCACATCCTGTAATTGGTATAGACTGAGTGTGTGTGTGTGTGTGTGTGTGTGTGTGTGTGTGTGTGTGTCTGAAGTGGAAGCCTCAGGTTTCATTAGGTTCTTGTGTCTTTGGTTATAAGACCTTCTCCTTCTTTGGCTTTATCAACTCAAGTGGGGCTCTGCTAAGCCCATCATTATCCATAAAGGGCTGAGGGGGTGGCGAGAGGTGGGGATGACAGGGAACTAACCATGTGGAAGGCTTCCTATTCATTGAGTGTATAGATGTGAATGCATTAGAGAGTGCCCAGCATATACTAGTATAAGGACCTATAAACATTCACTCTTATTATTACTATTACTCTTTTCTAAATGCTTTATGCTTTCTGAACCTCACAACAACACCATGAGGTCAGCATAAGTCCCATGCCGTAAAATAAACCCTTGGTTTTGTGGAACTTGATTAGATAGACTTTAGATTTAATGAAAAACAAATTTCCAGTGTATATGTCATATGTGGAAATTAATTTTAAAATGCTTTTAACCAAGATTTGCTAATAACTAAATTAACAGATTAATTCTTTGTTATTAATTCACTGTTATTTTTAACAAATTTTAGCAAATAGGCCATGTGTTGGGGAAAAACACTGTAGTAATTTCACCAACAAAGTACATATTACATATCTACAACTATGGTCTACATATTTAAATCTAAGAGTCACCGCTAATAAACAATGTTCAGTGAGTGATTAGCATGCGATCACGCTGCATGGCGTAAGGTAGCGGGTTCTGCAGCAGTTTTAACGCCTGCTGGCCGATGTTCCCACATGCGCTAAGCTGTGGGTATGTGTTCATTTGCAGTGCCTGGTGAGTGCATGCATTTACTAGACCTATTCAGTATAAATTTAAAATTACAGTCATACATACAGGAAGCTTTCCTGTGAAATTGAACTTTTCATACATACCTAATTTTAATTACACAAACATGTCTGCCTAAGTAAAAGCAGGTAAGCTAATTTGTCAACTTTTTAACATATACATTTGGAAAACCTACTTTATGATATAGTGGGCTTTCGACTTTCACAGACACCTCCCCGCCTGAATTACTTTGACTGTATCCTATTTGTGAGGGAAGGAACTCGGGGATTGTGTAAACTAATCCAGGGTCACACAGCGAGTGGTAGAGTTCAGAAGTCATTCCAAAGCTTCGGCTCTCTGTCTCCTCCCCATGGCCAGATTACCGGGCAGGCTTTCTGGGAAGGCAGCTTCCCTGGCTACGCTGAAGGCTTTCACATCCAAAGCTCCAGGGTTTTGCTCTCTCCCTGAGCCTGTCCATCGTAACAGGCACTGAACCTAAAAATTAGCTTCTTCGAGCCAAGGCAGTATCTATTTCCTCATGTATGATGACCCCGGTCATCCCACTCAAATTCCACACACAAAGCCAATTCCTCTCCTAGGGTACGAAGTGATATGTGAAGAAGTAAATCACACTTATCACAAAACCCTTGCCTCTGATGCAGCCAAGTCAAAGGCCCAAAGGGAAGACCTATTTTTTTCTCTAGTGACCAACCAGAGTGAGAAAGCTCTGGAGTCTCCTATCTTTTGGTTTTCAAATCCATGCTAAGAACTGCAGATAAATATCAGCTACTAAAATAGCCTTGCTAAAACCACGTGAGAACCCTGACAATTGCATTGTACTGAGCGCTTTTTATGTGTCTGCACTTATGCCTCAACGGAGCCAAGCTGGCTGGCCAGATGTCATGTTATTTTAAATATATTTTTATTGATCTCAGAGAGGGAGAGAGAAAGAGATAGAAACATCAATGACGAAGGAGAATCATTGATCGGCCGCCTCCTGCACGCCCCACATTGGAGATCAAGCCCACAACCCAGGCATGTGCCCTTGGCTGGAATGGAACCGGAACCCTTCAGTCCGCAGGCCAATGCTCCATCCACCGAGCCCAACTCCCTTGCTTTTCCCTGCAGCCGCTTCCCTGAAACCTGGCCACGCTCAGGAGAAGCCAAGACCGATGGGCTTTATAAGAAGGAGATCTGGGTTCCAGGTCCTGCTTTGCCACTTACTACCTTTGTCGCCTTGGGCAGATCACTTAACCTTCCAAAGTCTCCATCAGTTTCCTCTCCTGTGCCATGCAGACCAGTGTTCCCTGGTGCACAGATCCAGGAGACAATTCGAGCTACGACTTCAGTGGTAAGCAATGTTAGTTACCCCCTCCCTAACCCACTAATTCAAACACTGGGTGGTGGCCCTTCTCAACCTCCTCACTGCCCACCGCCTGTTCTGCCAGCCACCCCTCCTCCCTAGTAGCTGCTGCTTCGTTTCCCCTTCATTTCAGTTTTCTGGCCTCATGGGAAGGGGTGCTGGGAGTCTGACAGCTTTCCTTCTTCCTATTGGGATCTGGGAATGTGCCTGTCCTTCCCAAAGACCCGGAGCATCCGGATCCAGCTCTGCGCGCCGCTGCCCTAAGCGCCCTCTACCCATGGGCCCCGGGCCAGCTGGCCGCACGTCCCGCCCCTCGGGAGGGGTGTGACCCGGGAGCTTAGATAGGAGGTGCCTGCTGTCCGGCACACCCGGGGCGCGGAGCTTCCTCTGCGGCGCAGCCTCTCCTCCCCGGGCGCACGCGGAGCGGAGCGGCCGGGATCTCCTCTGCCCCGGACTCGGGGGGAGCCCCTGGCCCTCCCGCAGCCCCAACGCCGCCCGCCCGCCATGAAGCCGTCGTTCTTCCGCTGCCAAAACACCACGTGGGTGGAGAAGGGCTACTCGGCGACCATGGGCTGGGTGCTCTTCAGCGCGGGCCTCCTGGGCAACCTGCTGGCGCTGGGGCTGCTGGCGCGCTCGGGGCTGTCGTCCTGCTCGCCGCGCTCGCCGCGCCCGCCGCCCTCGGTGTTCTACGTGCTGGTGTGCGGCCTGACGGTCACCGACCTGCTGGGCAAGTCCCTGCTCAGCCCCTTCGTGCTGGCGGCCTACGCGCAGAACCGGAGCCTGTGGGGGCTGGTGCCGCCGCCGTCGGGCAGCTCCCTGTGCCAAGCCTACGCCTTCTTCATGTCCTTCTTCGGCCTGGCGTCCACGCTGCAGCTGCTGGCCATGGCCCTGGAGTGCTGGCTGTGCCTGGGGCACCCTTTCTTCTACCGCCGGCACGTCACCCCGCGTCGGGGCGCGCTGGTGGCACCCGCCGCGGGCGCCTTCGGCCTGGCCTTCTGCGCGCTGCCCTTCGCGGGCTTCGGCCGCTTCGTGCAGTACTGCCCGGGCACCTGGTGCTTCATCCAGATGGGGCACGAGGAGCGCGCGCCGTGGGTGCTGGGCTACTCGGTGCTCTACGCCAGCCTGCTGGCGCTGCTGGTGCTCGCCATCGTGCTGTGCAACCTGAGCGCCATGCGCAGCCTCTACGCCATGCACCGGCGGCTGCGGCGGCGCCAGCGCTGCTCCCTCCCTCGGGACCGCCCGGAGCCCGGCGACAGGGTGGCGTCCGCGCCGCCCCTGGAGGAGCTGGACCACCTGCTGCTGCTGGCGCTCATGACCGTGCTCTTCACCTTGTGCTTCCTGCCTCTGATTGTGAGTCGCTCCACCCGGGGCTGCGGGGCCGCGGGCGCGCGGGGCGCGGGAGGGTGGAGTCGCTGCGCCCCCCGCCAGGAGGGCTGGTGGCTGGGCTCCCCACATCGGGTTCCCTCCCTTCCTCCCTCCGCAGCCCCCCAAGACAGATGGCCCCGTTTGTTGAGTGAGACGAGGGAAAGTCAGAGAAAGCAAGGGAGAGACCGAGTCCCCCGGTGTCCCTGTGGCCCCGCGAAACCTCTCCTCCGGTTGGCAGAACCTTTCCTCTCTGCTTCCCTCGGGGAAGGTGAGTTACTTTTGGGGACGGTGACCTTTGGGGAGAACTCCGTTCCTCCTTGGCAAACAGGGGTCCTCTCCTGCCTCCCCGTGACTCATTAATGTTTTATTTCGTTAGACCTGTCCGTGCCTGTCATGGCATCCGTAGCGATCGAATGGGATCTGGGAGTTCTCCTCTGGGGTTTTGGCGTGGAAAGGGAGGCAGAGGAGGAGTGATCCTGCCCGCATGGTCTGCAGAGGCGAGTGCCTGGCAGCACAGGTTTAGTTTTTCAAAACTCCTGCCGTAGCTTTGAGGGGTCCGGGTGCTGCTGTGTCTGGTGCTGGGGTGGAGGTGACTGAGGGGGAGAGGCGGTTTGGGAAGCACTTCTGCCACTGGTGTCATTTTGATGACCTGTCTGGACAGGTTGGTTGGTTTTCTTTCTGTCTTGGCAACCGAGGTGACACAAGCAAAGGCATTATCGGTGGTTTCAATTTACTAATGGGGATGCGGGGTGGAGATTGAAGGCATTTCCTCCTGGGGTCCCAGCCAAGACTGGGGTCCCAAAAGGCACCTAAGAATGTGGCTGAGGCCTGAGAAAACGTTTTCAGGGTCACTCCTCGCCCTCTCGCCCCACTCCCGACACCCCCGCCGGGTACTTGTTCAACATGAGTAGCATTTAAACATATGAAATGCCAAGTCAATGCTTTTGGAGTTCTTGAGACTTCCGTGAATAGGAAAGTCAAATTTCTTACAGCAACGTAGCAATTTTGGATGTTACTTTCAAGGGTGGATGAAAGTGACATATGCTGTGATGTTCCCTTAAGGGGAAAGGCTTTAATGAAGGCTTTCACGAGTGTGTATGTGTGTATGTGTGTGTGTGTGGGGGGGGGGGGGGTCTATGGCTTCATCATGCAGAGTCAGGTGACCCACAAATAAGTCAATCAATCTGTAGCTGTATAAACAGATGTGGATATAGGTGTAGATATGTAGCAGTGGTTCCCCAATTTTACCACGCTCCGAATCATCAGCAGGGCGTTTAAAAAACATAGCCAGCTGGACTCCATTCCCCAGTTTCTGAGTCAGACGCTTTTGAAGAATTCTCCTTCTTACTGAGTTCGCAGCAGGTGAGGTGGGAGCTGCTGATCCAGGGATCACATTTGGAGAAACACACTCCGAAGTAGGACTTGGCCAACCACAGCCCACAGGCCAAGTCCATCCTGCCCGCTGTTTCTGCACAGCCATGAAAGTAAGAATAGTTTTTACAAATGAACACTTGCAATCAATTTGATGATAGGGTACACAAACTCTGAACCTCCAGTTAAGCCAAATGTTATTCCAAGATAAAAAGATTCTTATTATTCTCCTGAGTAGACATGTATTACAAAAAAATTGTACTTAATAATTATTACAATAGGGTCCCAGTGCTAGAATTCATGCATGGCTGGGCTTCAGCCATAGGAGAATAGGGGGTGCTGATCAGGTGCTGAAAATCCCCATGGAATTTCCAGTGGAGGGAACAATTTGCATATTAGCCTTTTATTATATAAGATTTTTAACTTCGTTAATAGAAGTTGTAGGAAATGTGTCTTCTCTCATCATATAAGTACCCACCAAATAACCACTTCATAATATAGAAAATATTTACTGATAGAATATGTTTGCAGACCCCCTGCCCTAAGCAATAGTCTTATTTACTCATGCTGTGACAAAAGCAGACAATAGCCAAGTGCATGGATATTATGTCCTGAGTTTGAGTGTTTCCAGTAGAACAATGCGGAAAGCAGCATAACACAGTGGAAAGATCATCATTTCTGGATATATCTCTAAGGGAAATTAAATGACTCATGTGATTGCGAGGACTGATGGGAATAGTGGATTGAAAATGATTTCCTAAAAAGTATGTAAAATTCCAAAGATATGCAATGCAGACAGCATTCTCCACGGGAACTATCATTTTCTGGAAAGGGTAGGGAATCCGCATCAGACACGAGTATGAATAAGGTGTGTTCCTTACTAGCTATGACAGTTACCTTTCTAACCACAATTTCTCTCAGGCAAGGATAACCATGCTTGCTCTGTAAGATAGCTATAAATATCTGAAGTTTTACACACACACACACATATATATATTTTCAAAATATATATATACTAGTACACACTTTGAATAATTATAAAGGCAATGTTGTTAAAATACATTCAAAATTGAGCTATCAGCTATTAAAGTGTGGATACATTTTGGGGGGAAACCCTGTATATATAGCTCCTATCCGGGCACCTGGCCTAAAAAATTAGTGTCACTGCTACCACTAATGATTATTATTTCCATTTATTATTGCCTGATGGACATAGAACATTAAGAAATATGGTCTCTGGATGGACATGGAGAGCATTATGGTAAGCGAAATAAGCCAGTTGGAGAAAGATAAATATCACGTGCTCTCACTCATTTGTGGAATTTAATGAACAACATAAACTAGTAAACAAAAATCAATCCAGAGACAGAGAAGCATTGAACAGACCATCACACCTCAGAAGGAAGGGGGAGGGGCGTGTGTGTGTGTGTGTGTGTGTGTGTGTGTATAAGAGATCAACCAAAGGACTTGTATGCATGCATATAAGCATAACCAATGAACACAGACACTAGGGGTGTGAGGGCACGTGCTAGGGGCTGGGAGTGGCCTGGGAGAGGTCAATGAGGGGAAAAAGAGACATATGTAATACTTTATACAATAAAGAATTAAAAATTGATAAAATGGATAAAACAAACAAAAAAGAAATATGGCCTCCTCAGGAGATAGCATTATATTCTAAGGCAGTGGTTCTCAAACTTGTTTTAGTCCAATGACCCCTTTTTACTCTTAAAAATTATTAAGGACCCAAAGAGCTTTAATTTATGTGGATTATATGTATCAGTGTTTCTCATATTAGCAATTAAAAATAAGAAACCACTTAAAATATTATTTTAAAACAAGTTAACAAAATGTACTTCTTGTATTTTTGCAAAGGCATAAGGAAAATGCTGTGATTTCAAAACTGATTAAGTGAATGATAAAATAAAGATATTATAGCAAATAAAACAGAAAAACAAAAGCATGTTAAGAGCACAGAAGTATGAAGAACAGTCTCTGAAAATGCACATGTGTTTCTTAAACCAACTACCTTAGAAAGCTCTAGAAAGCACAAGAATACACAGCACATATTTCATTAGCCCTGGCAATGGAATGGATATCGTCATACGTCAGGTAGCCTCATAAAACTCAGTGTATCCCTATGAGAGGATGAAAGGCAAAAAGGCAAATAACGTCTTTGTTATGAAGATAGTTTTGACCCTGCAGACACACTGAAAGGGTATTAGAGACCCCCACACTTTGAAAATCACTCTTCAAGGAATGGATCTAGGGAAAGGGGTGAGACTTTAAGAAACACTTTTATTCATAGCATAAATATTGTATTTCATTAAGCTGATGAAAAGTGTGTTGGAGTATGATTTTTTAAAAATTAACTTTGCTGTGATGCTAAATTAGAGCATGATACTTAACTAGACTGAATTTTCACATTTTCAATTTGATGCAGTAGGAAGAAAGTAAGCAAACACAAGATGAGCTTTAGAGGCAGTTTTCAGCACATTCTCTAATGTGGATAACATATTTCCATCAAAATTATATTTATTTTAGAAAACCACAATGAATTGGAGGTTGGTAAGGAGCAGCGGTGGGTGAGAGAGGATGTTCATGTGTAAGTTAGATGTAATAACTGAGAGGTCTAGAAGCCACATGAAGATAAGTAATTGCATATATCCAAGTCCATGGAGGCAGAGAAGTAGTAGAGGATATCCTGCATGGATTGCAATAATTCCTTGGGCAGGAGGCTTTTAGAGGCATGTAAAGATTGGTAGGCAAGAGTCGAGCCTGGGGAAAGGGTAGGGAGTGTATTTAAAGGGCTAGAGCAGAGGGCAGAGTATTGTGATGGGTGGACTGGATAGAAGAGGCCTTAGAATCAAGAGAGCTCTTAAGGAATGGAACTGGGGCACTAAGATAGGTCTCTAGAGTTGGCAATAGCAACATTTTCTCCAGGATTTCCAAATCCAACAGAGGGCGCTTTTCTCACACTGATTCTGTGTAAATTGACATACTTAAAAAATGCTCGGTGTATATTCTGAGGTTATTCAGTACTTTAGCCTCTATTATAGAAACAGTTTATAAAGTATGTTCTAGAGCAGTGTTTCCCAAACTTTTGACATATGTGTACCCCTTCTATAATTTTCATAATGCTGAGTACCCCTCATACTCATGAGAACGTAGAATCAGGAGCAGTGCACATCCCCACCAAACTCTTCCCGTACCCCTGGGGGTACGCGTACCACACTTTGGGAAACACTGTTCTAGAGAATACTTTTGATGGGCGGAGATTTTTCAAAAGTTGAAATTGTTTTCAAATTGATAATTTGTAAGAATCAATAGAAAGTTTACTTTGATCACTGTCATAAATGAAGTTGTCATATTGTTAGTAAACTAAAAAATTAAAAACAAATTCTATTAAATTAAAAGTTCAGGTATAGATCAATACACTTCTATTACAAATCAGGTGACCTGAAAATACAATTAACCCAATAATATGCAATAGGATTAACTTGGACAAATACTACTTAAAAATAAAATGATTTGTTTTAATTTTATAAGTTCCACTCAATGACCAAGGTCCCAGCTAGTTTAGTAATTTCAAATACTTGGGATTGCATTTTGCTGCACTACACTTCTAGGAGAAAGGAGCAAATGTAAAGATAGACTCATATAAGCATTTGCTTTTTAAATCAACCAAATTGCATAGCCTGTTGTCAGCCATTTATCCATCCAGTACATGTCTTATTACCTATAACAATCAATATACTGTAAGTCATTGTGGAGATATAAAATGAGAAAAAACATCACATATGCCCACATACACTATAATACCGGCATGGGTGAGAGTAATTAGGCCCATAATTCAAATTCCCTGACAATCCTGGAAGGTAAGTACAAGCACCCCCACTGTGTAGCTGAAGAGACGGAATAACTTACCCGATGTCACACAGCCAATGAGGGGACTCTCACCCAGAGACTCAAGCTCCAAAGCTAGTGTGCGTGCCAACTACTTCACTGGGACTTCCTGAAGGGGTGGCATTTGAGGTTGGTCCTGAGAGACGATAGGATTTGGGCACGCAATCAGTTTCCACTTCTCAAATGGAGATAATGGTCATGCTTCCTTCGTGGGGTTTTTATGTTTTCAAAGTAAAATGCTTAGAACAAGGCCTGGGAACATGGGCATTCGCTTAAATTATTATCACTATTAGTATTATTAAGCCCTGATGATGGGAGAGGTCTTCCAGTTAAGTAAGATGGGAGTTGCTGGGGCCATTAAAATGCTCTGGAGAGAGTGAGCAAAAAGGGAAGGAAACAATGATGGGAAAACACATCTTCCCCAGCAGATGCCCCCTGATTGCCTAAGTGATCTGGTCTGTGCACTTACTCATCTCTCCTCCCATCCATGTTGAGTTAGCCTATTTCCTGTCCCATTAGGGTCCATTTTGTCCCATTATGGATTTGGAATCTCAGTGGGCACAGGGAGTAGAACAGTATTGAGAAAAAGTGGCTGGCCTCCAGTGGAGAAGGAGGTAGTGGTAGTGCTGGGCTAGGCAGCAGTGTTGGCTGAATGGCAGGAAAAGCCAGTCAGTAGTTTGCAGGCTCAGAGGGGGCCACAGAGACCTCAGAGAGAATCAAGGTAGTAGGAGTGACTGGGCACAGGTAAGTAGGCTTATATGTCCGTGTGTGTGTGTTTTTCCTAGTGTGAAAGGAGGATGTTGACCTCAGAAAGGTAACCATCTATGCTAAGTGATTAACATGAGTTGGCCTGGTCCTTTCGCAGATCTCCTGTCTTTCATTGGAGTATTTCCTGTCTTCACAGACACTAGACACTGCTATTTCATTGATGTCTCCGTATGGGTGACATTTCACAAGGGTGACTTATTTCTAAATTGACTAATAAGAGAGGATAGGGCCCTGGCCAGTTTGGCTCAGAGAATAGAACATCAGCCTTGTGGACTGAAGGGTCTCTGGTTCAATTCCAGTCAAGGCACATGCCCAGGTTTCGGGCTGGATCCCAAGTAGGGGGCGTTGCAGGAGGCAGCCGATCAATGATTCTCTCTCATCGTTGATATTTCTATCACTTTCTCCTTTTCCCTTGCTCTCTGAAATCAATAAAAATATAGGGTTTTTTTTGTTTTTAATATATTTTTTATTGATTTTTTTACTGAAAGGAAGGAAGAGGGATAGAGAGTTAGAAACATTGATCAGCTGCCTCCTGCTTTTTAAAAGAGAGAGGATAGGAAGTAGGCAGAAGGAAGGAAGGAGAACTGAAGAGAATATGGGCAGAGAGCCTCAGTATTATGGAAGTGCGGTGACCTGTTTGTAAGAGATTCAGTGGACTGGATTAGTCTCACCTCAGCTCCTGCTCTGCAGGGCCAGGCAGGGACCTAGAAACTCCTGTGCTCACAGCAGGTAGAACAGCCTCTAGGGACTTACACGGGGCCTCCCAGGGTCCCCACTTCCATGAACCTCCCAGGCTCCTCACTTGCACCATCAGTTGCAGTAACCTTGCCCCAAATGCATAGTCCAAGCCGAGCTGCCATATTCCTACAGAAAAGCAATGTATCCTGATCGGAAAAAGTGAATGTATTGCTGCCATCAACCTTTCAACATTATAATGGATCTGTTTTCCCTTTAAAACAGTATCGTGCTTACTATGGAGCATTTAAAGCTGTCACCAAGAACAGAATTTCTGAAGAAGCCGGAGACCTCACAGCCTTGCGTTTTATATCTGTGATCTCAATTGCGGATCCCTGGATTTTCATCATTTTCAGGACATCAGTGTTTCGGATGTTTTTTCACAAGATTTTCATAAGGCCTCTTAAGTACAGAAACTGGCACAGCAATTCCTGCCAAACACACATGGAATCCAATCTGTGACGAAGTCTTACAGTCTCTGGTAAGCTGAGGAATGTATCACATTTACCATCAAAGAACCATGCTAAAAAGAAGAAAGAAAAGAAAGAAAGCACTTCCATTTAAATCCTACAAAGTTATCTCCCATCACAAAACATCCAAATGGATTTTCTAAAATGTTGATATCTTAACAAGGCATTGCCACTCTATGTACTTGAACCAGTCAGGTACTTTTTTTCTTTCTTTCCATTTCAAGGTAGTAATAGTGACTAGAATTTTAAATATCGTGACTACTGTTAAAAGTTTTAAGGCAATGATATTAATTGTTGCAACATTTGTACTCAGTGTCCCAAATTTTTTAGAGAGGTCTTGAGACGAACTGGGTCTAAACCTAGCAGAAACACAACTGTTTACAGTTACGTGATGGGTGTTTTTAAAACGTCTTGTTCATTTCTAGTGAAACCTGCTTTTTTATTTTGTATCACAATTACCCATTTTTTTTTTCCCATCTGATCTGAGTTTGTCTGGATTACAGATGTTCCTCAGAGAAGTAAGATGGGAATTACCGTCACGTCAGGGTTTGGAGAGGCGAAGCTATCCATCAGTAGATTTAAGGCAACATGTGACTGTGCCCACTCCCCAGAGAAGAAAAATCCATGTTTATTGTTTGAAGTGAGGTTTCCTGTGTGTTGAAGCAGGGATATCAGTAGAATCAAAATTTGGGAGTGGCTACAAAATATTGTTTCAATTTTGGGTACTTGCATTTTATAAGTTGATCATACTAGTGGATGTTGGGGAGGAAGGATTTATGCTTCTTTGAAAGCAGTGATGTGAGAATTTCCAGGGAGCCGAGCTGAGCAGAGCAGAGCTGAGCCATGTTTACTACCTGACTGTGCAAAGCAATCAGTTTCACAAATGAGTGGAATCATCATCATTCACAGAAGAGTGAAAAGCCTGCCCAGGACTCAGTCAACCCCAGCTGAGGGTGGTGGCAGGGACCTTAACATCTACCTATTAACAGCCGTATTCTGCTCTTTGTGAAAACAGTAAGACCTTATGGAGGTTCCAGAGAGCTGTGCACTTTTATAATGAACAGGATGGGCTCAGAGGGAGCATAGCTGAGCACTTTAATTGTACATTAAATGTTTGCAAAGGTTAGCAACACTATGAAAGGGGAACAAGTGGGGAAGCTACGCTGCAGCTGTTAAACTAAAGCACACAGGCAAAGGCTTTTACCTTTGGTGAAAAAACAGATGGGAACATTCGGGCATTTTCAGCATCTCCAGCGTCCCTTGGTACCCTGACACACGCAGACTCGGAGATGGAGAGCCGGCTGCCCTTGAACAGACCCGAGATGCCCGGTCAGCCATCCCTTCCAAAGACAAGAGCATTGGACTTATTGCCAACGTAGCAGCAACCCCACTTTCCACCTCTGGTTTATATCAGCGATGATATTAACCTGGATTCACGTGTGTGTGTGTGTGTGTGTGTGTGTGTGTGTGTGTGTGTGGCAACACTGTGAAATGGCCAATTAGGAATACATGAGTTATAATTTGGGAGTATGATGTGATGAAAAATGCAGTCATTTTCAGTTTAATTTTCATTTGTATATTTAATGTGTGAGTACATATGTGTTTTATTGTGGAGGAAGTTTTTTTGTATTTTCCTTTTGGAAGGTATGTAGTGATGATTGACAAGGTCATCAGAAAAGGTCACGGGTGAACCAATAAACATCTTTATAATATTTTGCTGAGGAAATTACTTTTCTTCTAAAAAAAATGAAAGAGGTTTTGTTTTCTTTTTTGAATAAACTAACCCAGGAGTACTTTTTTCTTTAGCAGTTTAATGGGCTGTTCTACCAGCATTTATATTACTTTAAATAAGTCAGTGTAGGTTTATCTAAGGACTTTAATGACCCTGTCTCTAGAAAATGGAGATAAGCTACCCTGATGACATTCATATTAAGTTAAAAGTCAACACTTCTATGATCTTCACTGACTTATTCATTAGTTCATTAGATAAGTCTTCATTGACACGTACATTGTACCAGGGTTAGTGCTGAGGAAAGGAACACATACAGCTCAGAGCTGGCCAAGAGCAATGGAGGACACAGGCACGTACAATCACAATAGAGGGCAGAAATCCCAATAGCGAATGTGTGCACAGAGCTCTCAGAAGAGGAGGCATCAACTAGGGAAGACGTGGAGCGTTGCTAGAGCTTCTGAGTGAGAAGATGCTAAATCAAGAACTGAAAATGAGTAGGAATTTTGACTCCAGTTCAAGACTGGACAATGGACACAAAGCTATGATTTACATAAGAGAAGATACATATGGTTGATAAGTATAGAAAAATGTCCTGCCTAATCAGAAAAGTGCGAAATTAAAATCCAATTCTCAAGGACCAGCCGAAGTATGACTCTCAATAACAGAGGCTGTGATGGATTAAGCAGCATGAATATTCCCCTGGTGAGTTTGTCAGTGTGTCCACCTTTTCTTATTTGCCACCTGAGAGTGTAGATCAAGAGCCTAAAAGTGTTCTTTTCTACTGTTCCGGTAATCCCAACTTAGAATTCTCTCCCAGGAAACAATCAGAGGGGAGGGCACAGGTATGTACAAAACCTCATTTACAATAGTTAAGATTGGGAAACAGCCTAAGTGCCCATCAGTAGATGAGTGGATTAAAAAACAACGGTACATCTACACAATGGAATACTACACTGCTGTAAAAAAGAAAGAACTCTTACCATTTGCCAACAGCATGGATAGACCTGGAGAGCATCAGGCTAAGTAAAATAAGCCAGTCAGAGAAAGATGCGTATCACATAATCCCACTCATTTGTGGAATATAATGAACAACAAAACTCTTCTTTGTACTATATATAGTTGCACAAAAAATGAAAAGGAAACCATCTAAGTGGCCAAAGCAAGGGTTAAACAAACTCTTTAGAAATATATACACACAAACATATAGAAACATTATACAGCCATTAAAAAAATGTTTTCAACACATTTATGAAAAATGAGAAGAAAGCTTATAGTGCAATAGTAGGTGGGGGGGAAAAGCACAATACAAACTGAATATGATCCATAAAAGTACATATGTAGGAAATGCCTTGAAAAAATAGATGAAAGTGTGAACCAGTTACCTTTTTTTATGAATATATTTTACATAATTCTTTGTATTTTCCAAGATTTAAAATAAGTCCATATTTCTTTTACATGAAACTATTTTTTCCTCCGTCCTACCTCCCCCCCTAAATCTATTTTTTAAAAGAATGAATAGAAATGGGCTGAGCAAACGAAGGGGAAAGGTATGACAGAAAGCTCTCCAGTCTGAGGAATGGCGTGTGCAAAGCCACGGAGGCATAAAGGAGAAGGCCGAATCCAGGCTCCTTCGTAACTTCATTGGCAGAGATTTAGGTCTCTGAGCAAAGGATGCTGGCAAAGAAGCTGAAAACAGAGCAAGTTTGGCATCCTAAAGGGTGTTGGGTGCAGCCAGGAAGGGCTGCAGCTCTGTGAGGCCTGGATACTCTGCAGACTTTGAAGCCAGGGTGCAATCAGAATGGAGGTTGTGGAAGATGATACTGGTGGCCCAGACTGAGGACTGGGCAGGTGGGGGGGCCAGGTGGGCAGACGTGGGTGTGCTGGGCCCTGGCAGCTATGTGCAGTCAGTGCACTAGGCCAGGGCGCTGACTAAAGAAGTGAGTGGGACCCAAAAACAGCCCTGGTCCTGCTTTCCTGGCTGTGGGCTGCATCAGCTCAGAGGAAAGGGCCCCTTTCTATGACCTTTCTATTTGGAGAGGCACAAAGACACGAATATGCAGGCCCTGCAGTGCCCTCCTGCAAAGGAGGGAAAGAGGCGAGGAGCTGCTGAATTCAAGCAGTGGGAGGGAGAGAGGGGTCGCACAGCTTTAGTAGGTACAGCTGATGGGAAGGATTCCTACTTACGATGACTCAGTCATGCCTTCTGGTTCTTCAGTTGCATTGATTTGACCATCTCCCGCTTCTTAGTTCCAACGTTTCAATACATTCAGAAACAAGTTAGGAAAGGAAAAGATTCCGAAGAAACCTCCCATTTCCCCCAGTGCACCTGAACAAAAGACTGCAGCGCTGAATCCAGGGAAGTTTCTGGGTTATCTCTGGACTTTAATTGCAATACCATCCAGTCAAGTGCTTAAGGGCCAACTTTGCTCAGAAAGCCATCAAAGGCTGTCTGGGCCAGGCACCGCTGAAACGTTAGGGGAGAGAAGGAGTGCCAGCAGGAGTACCAAGATGACCCGGAACTCACCAGCCATGCAGCCTCCCTGTTCATGGTCTCCAGTTCCAGGCCAGCACTTCTCCAGGCCCGGGGTCTGGACCAGCATCACCTGGAACTTGTTAGAATGTAGTTCTCCAGCCCCACCCAGACCCGCTGGATCAGAAGGTCTGGGGGTGGGGCCGGCAAGCTGTGTTTTAACAAGTTCTCCAGGTGATTCTCATGCCAGTTAAAGTTTGAGAACCACTGATCCATGAAAAAAATTAAATAAATAAGAAAATAAAATATGCAATAGACTCCATTTATAATGTTTCTCTGATCGCTGGCTCTCAGATTTAATCATTCACACCTGACTCCCTCTATTCTATTAAACTATTTTTCTTATTTTCCCCTAACAACTAACATGTACTATAAACATGTTATACTAGACGCCTGGTGCATGAAATTTGTGCAGGGTGGGGGGGTCCCCCTCATTCTGGCCTGCACCGGCTCACAATCCAGGACCCCTCTGGGAATGTCTGACTATTTAAACTGGCAGTTGGACATCCCTCCCTCAATCCAGGACCACTGGCTCCTAACTGCTCATATGGCTGCCTGCCTCATTGCTTCTAACCACTCTACCTGCCTGCCTTATTGCCCCTAACCACTCTGCCTGCCTGCCTGATCTCTCTTAACCATTCACCTGCCTGCCTGATTGCCCCTAACCTCTGGCCTACCTGCCTCCTCACCCCTAATCACTCTGCCTGCCTGCCTTATCACCCCTAACCACCTCTTCTTTGGCCCCCACCACAGCAGCTTCATTCAGAAAGACACCAGGAATGACGTCCAGAAGGTCTTTTGGCTGTCCAGTCTAGCTAGCATATTACGCTTTCATTATAGACTGGAAACCTGGTGCACGGATTCGTGCACTGGAGGGTCCCTTGGCCTGGCCTGCATCTCTCCCAATCCAGGACCACTCGGGGGATGTCAGAGAGCCAATGTTAGCCGATCCCTGCAGGCCATGCCCAATCTCCGCAGGCCAGGCCTCTAATATGCATATAAGATCTTTGACTAATCTCTTTCCACCCTTCACCCTCCTCTCTTCTCTCTGAGATTCATCAGTCTGTTCTGTGTTTCCATGCTTGTGCATTGAGTGTCTGCCCCCTGGTGGTCATTGTGCATCATATCTACCGGCTGGTCAGCTAGTCGCTTAGGCTTTTATATATCAAACAACCAGAACAACCAGTCGACCAGTCACTATGATGCACACTGACCAGCAGAGGGCAAATGCTCAATGCAGGAGCTTCCCCTTGGTGTTCAGTGCACTCCCACAGCCAACCTCCCATGGCCAGATGGTGGCATCA